CTTCCCAGCCAGTAGTCCTGTGCTAATGACATCTATGTTGCCTTTCTTTCCTTCAAGGAATGTATAAAATACATTCGCATATTAATACAGAGGAGTCAGAGTCGGAAGTACAAAAAACTGAGGAGTCGGGGAGTCAGAACATTTATCTACCGACTCCACAGCCCTGCTAACTACACCACAAGGCCATCAAAATGGCCAATGGTGCACAGTGACTCTGCAAATGCCATGCTGAGACCAGGGGCGGACTGACAACTCCTGGGGCCCCCGGGCAATAGGGGATCATGGGGCCCCTGTGTCCTTGCCCAAACTCAAAAAAGCCTATGAAAAAGGTACCAGGGGCTTCTCATAGGGCCCCCTACTGACCCGGGCCCTCGGGCAGTGCCCGAGTTTCCAAATGGTCAGTCCGCCCCTGGCTGAGACTCATGCTGATGTAGTGCGGCAGAGGTTGCTTTACAGCAGTCCATTCAGAGGTTAGGAAGAAAGGGGTAGAACCTCCTATTGTTCCTCAGAGCCATGCTGCAGACTGGGAGAGAAGCTGAGGCCATCTGGTGACATTTTTCTATTACTACAACTAATCACAATGGGATTATGCAAGAGTGATGTGTATCAACGGTCACATTCCTATTCTCATTATATTATGAGCTGCCTGGCTCATGGTGGGGTTATACAGCAGTAATATTGTGGTTCTGGGATCACATATCCCTCCTATAATTGTATTAGCTGCCGTACTCATTAGTGCAATGGACCAGGCTGCCTCAACAGACCACTCAATGCCCAATAAGAATAGCTCATATTAACTGCGATATAACTAAAAAATGTTGCGCTCCCAATCTCTAACAAACTTATAAATTAGTGACTTCAAATTATATCCAAGAAAAACAAACAATATACCATACATAAATAAATGAATATCAAGTTAAATGTGATGTGAATCAAATAAAATTAAAAAAAAACAGTCCGATTACTCAAATTATAGTCCAAAAAAAGGGATTTGTGATGACGCGATTCAAACACACCAATTGTGACTTTTCGTGAATCCTTAAATCATTAAAGATGTGCGCTCACCTCCTTACAAGCCTAACAGGCTTAATACACTTTTTGTTCACATACATGGAACCTGCTAGAATTTGCTGCAGCATGGAATGGATGTTGGATACCTCCTATGTACTCCACAATGCTTCTCTCCTTATACACTCGTTATCCCTGCAGGGATCTCTCCCTCCTTCAGCTGCTCAGGATCCCCTGCTCACTCCTCTTAGATGTTCCTCGTGTGTGTAACTTGCGAGCCACTAAAATATTCCTCTGGATCGCTAACATTTATCACATACTCAAACTGTGTAAAAAACACCATATAACTAAAAAAAGTTGCGCTCCCAATCTCTAAAAAACTTATAAATTAGTGACTTCAAATTATATATCCATGAAAAACAAACAATATACCATACATAAATAAATACCATATATACCATACATAAATAAATTACAAGCGTTTAGAGCAGAAACAAATTATGGCTCCCACATCGATGGGTATTAGACCAACAACTGTGTGGTTCCCAAATCAATGAATATTCAGACCAGCAGGTGAAAGACCAACAAAGATGGCTGTGGAACGCCGCGGATAGCGTGCGCTGCACTCACCGGATGTGACGTCACAGAGCCTTCGCCAAAAAAGGAAACTACGTTGACGCACTTCGCCCCTCCTCCAGTGCATTCTCACAGACCGGGGAACACACTTCACCAATAAAAGCTCATTTGACTCATAAACCATACAAGCTAAGAGTCCATCATGTCTGGTGAGTGTGGATTGTACCGGAAGGTGATCACGGATGGTGTGGGGATATTGTTTAAGGAACACATTTGGTTTTTTGGCACAGTTTCTTTAACCACTTGACCTCCAGAGGATTTACCCCCCTTAATGACCAGGCCTCTTTTTGCTACTCAGCGCTGCACTAATTCAACTGATAATTGTGCGGTCATGCAATGCTGCACCCAAACAAAATTTACGTCCTTTTTTTCACACAAATAGAGCTTTCTTTCGATGGTATTTGATCACCTGTGCACTTTTTATTTTTTTCACACTATAAACAAAAAAAGGCCAAAAATTTTTGAAGAAAAACGATATTTTTTACTTTCAGCTATAAAAAATATATAGTAAACTCAAAGTTAGTTATAAATTTAGGCCAAAATGTATTCTGCTAAATGTTTTTGACAAAAAAAATCCCAATAAGTGTATATTAATTGCTTTGTGTGAAAGTTATAGCGTCTACAAACTATGGTATAGATACTGCAATTTACGCCATTTTTTTGCTATACAGCGCTGCGCTAGTTTAACAGAAAATTGCGCGGTAATGCAAAATTAAATTTACATTTTTTTTTCCCACAAATTGAGCTTTCTTTCGGTGGTATTTGATCGCCTGTGCGGTTATTATTTTTTGCGCTATAAAAAAAAAGGCTGACAATTTTGAGGAAAAAAAACAATATTTTGGACTTTTTGCTATAAAACATGTCCAGTAAAAAAAAATGTAAAAAATCAAATTTAGTCATAAATTTCTGCCAAAATGCATTCTGCGACATGTCTTTGCTAAACAAAAAAAAAACTCAATACGTGTAAATTAATTGGTTTACGTGAAATTTATAGCGTTTACAAATGGCGGGAAAGATACTGGGATTTTTAGGTTTTTTTTTATACTAATAATGGCGGCGATCAGGGACTTATGGCGGCGATCAGGGACTTATGGCGGCGATCAGCGACTTATGGCGGGACTGCGGCGGACATTCTGACATTGGGGGGTACTGACTTGGGGTCACTGACATCCCCAGTGACACCAATACAGTAATCAGTGCAAAAAAAAAACACTGTACTAATGGCACTGGGGAGGAAGGGGTTAACTGTGTGAGGGAAGTGTTTTACTAGGGGGCGGGGGTGTGTACTGCAGGGCACACTGCTGATCGGGAGAGAGAAACTCTTCTGTCCCGATCAGCATGTCCTGGAGCTGTCAGGGAACTGACAGAAAGCACAGCTACTGCAGCTGTGCTCTCTGTCAGCGATTGCCGCCGATCGCCGGGACATAGCCAGTAACGACCGGCTGTGACTCGGCGACTGACATGCGCGGCTGTGATCGGCGGGACAGGTAGGGCGGCGGCGCGCCTCACCCACGCCCCCTACCTGTTTTAAAAACACATTTTAAAACATGGTTTTGCCCAGCCGTGCCGCCCTGCCGCCGTATTTCCACAGTGGCTGGGCGGCATGTGGTTAACTGGAACATTGTATCACCATTTATTTGGGACAGTGGACTTTTTATTAGTTTTATTATTTTTTTTTATTTATCTCATCACTGTTGATATAATCACTATTGTTTGTTTAATTTTTGCGCTGTAATATTATTTTTATAACCTAGATGTATGTCCAAATCCCATCTATGGTTTAACCCATGAGGTGATCTAGTTTGTAAGCTGTGTATCCATCGTGCCTCTTTCTGTATTAATATATGATGCATATCACCCCCTCAAGGGTGGGTTGTAACTCTATCAATGCCACAAAATCAAAACAAAGTAGTGTCTCCAGCATGAACATCTCTAAAGTGCCTAGATACACTAGAAAACTGTTTTGCTTGAAAAGTACTTGAATCACAAAAGTATTTTCCAATATGTATTCTCAAAGGACGTATTGTACAGCCAACCTATTGTAAACGACAACTCGTACAGTAAATAAGGTGCACTACATAAGTAATGTAGCAATTTACATAATGTAAGATTTTAAAGCTTTCTCCTGTAGTGAAAGAGTCAAAAGTTTTAGTGCACAGGTTCAGTCGACAATATTTGCAAGTCTTATACACACAAGCATATGAGCCTGTGCATGACAACCGTGGATGTAGTATTCTTGGAGGTAAAAAGACCAGGGGAAATAATGAGCTTAACCACTTCCAGTCTGGACACTTTCACCCCCTTCCAGTCTGGACACTTTCACCCCCTTCCAGTCTGGACACTTTCACCCCCTTCCAGTCCGGACACTTTCACCCACTTCCAGTCCGGACACTTTCACGCCCTTCCAGTCCGGACACTTTCACCCCCTTCCAGTTCAGGCCAATTTTCAGCTTTCAGCGCTATCACACTTTGAATGACAATTGCGCAGTCATTCAACATTGTACCCATATGAATTTTTTAGCATTTTTTTGAGACAGATAAAACTTTATTTTGGTAGTATTTATTCACCACTGGGATTTTTTTTTTTTGCTATATAAATGAAAAAGTCCAAAAATTTAGAACAAATTTTGCAAATAAATAATCTTTCTTCATAAATCTTAACCAAAATGTATTCATCTATCTTTTTATTAAGAAATAAAAAAAAAACAAATTAGTTCATAACCAAAAATTATAATTTTGAAAAAAAAAGTTTTTACATTTTTATATTATTATTTATGTTTTTTTAACATACTGTCACCCTAGCAGTACAGTGTCACCATAGTGACACTGTACTACTTGTGGGGGGTGATGAAGATTTTTTTTTTTTTTTTTACACTGATTGCTTTTACACCCATAAAGGCTGTAAAAGCAATCATTTCTCCTTCTTTCTGGCTGCATTTTGCAAATAAATAATCTTTCTTCATAAATCTTGGCCAAAATGTATTCATCTATCTTTTTATTAAAAAAAACCCAAATTAGTTTATAACCAAAAATTATAATTTTTAAAAAAAATGTTTTTACATTTTTTATATTATTATTTATGTTTTTTTAACATACTGTCACCCTATCAGTACAGTGTCACCATAGTGACACTGTACTACTTGTGGGGGGTGATGAAGATTTTTTATTTTTTTTTTACACTGATTGCTTTTACACCCATAAAGGCTGTAAAAGCAATCATTTCTCCTTCTTTCTGGCTGCATTTTGCAAATAAATAATCTTTCTTCATAAATCTTGGCCAAAATGTATTCATCTATCTTTTTATTGCAGCCATTGAGAAATACTGTGAAAGCTGTGATTGGTCTTAGCTTGTCACATGGTACAAGGCTGTTGTGAATAGCCTTGTACCATGTGACCTCTGTGATCATTCATATATTTCACAAGTAGTAAGCGTTGAAGTCAGGAAGTGATATCTTGTTAACTACTATTCATGTGATCATTGATTGGCCAATCAGTGACCACATGAATCGGGAACTCACACAGAGGTCTTGTACAGCGATCTGTGTTCCGCTGTGTCTGGAGGGCACAGCAGGCACCAATCGTGGTGCTGTGCGCTCCCAGGGAGTGCGCGCAGGCAATGGATTCGGGGGGACGTTTAGAAACGTCCACCCGCATTGGCAGTGCTCCCGTCCAGCTGTTTGTCTACATGGGCCGGATGGGAAGTGGTTAACGTGGGTGCTCTTCGGCAATAGAATCTGCAGCCTTGTTTTAACACTGGAAGGAAATCTGGATCTACATATAAGATCGGAAGATTCTTTTTAATAATATCTGTTATTTGTTTATACTCTGGAGAAAAAGTAACAAAAGTAATTTTGTTACATTCTAATCTTCTGTCCCTACTGTTAGATCTATGTCTATTGTTACCTAATAGGTTATCAGGATCTCTTGCCTCTGCAATATGCCTGCCCCTTTCATTGCTCCAAAATGGAAAACCTCTTTCCTGTAGCCTAATTTGTATGGTACAACCAGGGGTGTATGTACCATAAGGCAAACAAGGCATTTGCCTAGGGTGGCATTTTTCAGGGGGGCAGCAGCATTTTTCAGGGGGACAGCGCCACCCCCCGAAAGAAGTGATGGAAGAAGGAAAACACGCAGCATGGGGACCATTGGGTATCTGAGAGAGGCTGCGGGCTTCTTGATGGTATATGCAGAGCCTGACTCTTGTTTCTGGGGATGTCCAGAGCTGTGAAGGTGAGTTTCTTCTCTCTATTGCCAGGGTGGAGGGGGGGGTGGTTGCCAGTGTATCGGGGGCGGTGGTAGTGGAAGGCTCTCTTGGGTGAGGGGAGGGCTGGGGTGTTGTTGGTCAATGTCAGGCTCTCTTCATGTGGGAGAGGGGTTTTGGTCAGTGTCAGGGTCTCTCCATGGTGGTGGTGATGGGAGACGATTTTTGTGTTGCCTAGGGCAGCAGGAAACCTAAATACACCACTGGGTACAACATTCCTTTCTGAACATTTCCTCTTGTTGGGGATTGGCCAGGATCCTCTAATAGTACAGACCAGCCACTCCTCACCTCTGCCCACTGTTTCTGGATCTTTCTCCAAAGTCCTGGAGCAGGGGGAAATTCCAGAGGTCTGGTCTGCAGAGCCTCTTGGCTCTGACCTAAATTGGACCCACCTGGCTATCACACCCAGGCTCAGCCTCTAACAAATGATGCTAGAGCTACCCCTGGCTACCTAGGAGGGTGCTACACTCGCAAGTCTGCTATCTTCAATCTGAATGTATTGCCCATCCAAGAGGAGATGTAACACAATTTATGAGGACATTCACAGATAAATTCCAAACAATGAGCAAACATACTTGTCTTGGAAATGCGGTGTCACACTTCAGTAATGACAACTTTGGGAACTCCAGGTAAAACTCCGGACACGAACTTGAGGAAAACAAGCTTTATTAACCAGTTGGTGACTTAGCCAGACTAACGTCTGCAAAGCTGAGTGCCTTGAAAAAGCATCTTACAGGGTATACTTATCAGCAATTACGTCACAATGCGTATATTTCCTCTTTCACTTTCTGTACATTTAAAAGACTTTCTAAGCAGTGAAAATATGGCCTTGCTAGATAAATTATCTTCAGCTGAAAATTAAGGTACCAGCTACAGACTGGAACACATTATTCCACAGGAAATAAGGGAGGGGGGAAATGAGCTGATGACCTTGCAAACAGATGATGTTAGAAATGTTAAAGTTTAAAGGGGAACTCTGCAATATTTGGGTGCTGCCACACTTCCATGGATCCACTCACTTTTGGGAGGTCGGCTTCAGACATAGGCAATACTTCTGAGGAACATAGCCCCTGCCGCACTGCTGAATGCGGGGCTAGTTAGCACCCAATTTTTCACCCCCAAAGGGGTTCTCTGCCTTATCAGAGTATTTAGCAAAACTTGACTAACTACCTTATTCCCCTGAGTTTGCAGGACTTTGCGACTTTTGGCTGTTTCCAAAATTAAAAAATGCCTTAAAAGGACACAGATTTGATGACATTCTAGGCGTCCAGAGACTGCGCAGTGTTCTGGAAAACGAATTCCAGAAATATTTCTGGCAGTGACACAGTCGTCAAGAGGGGACTACTTTGAAGGTGACAGCAGCCACTAGTGTATGTGTAAACATTTTTTTTACAGTATTCTAGACATATGTAGAATGAAAATATTTGTTTTGTTTCGTATCGATTCGTTAAGTTACTAATTTTGTTTCATTGCATTTGTAACTAAATTAGTTTAGATTAGTTTTTGACCAGATTCAAATTTTTTCAATGGATTTAAAGTATTCGATACGAATTGAAAATATTGAATCAATCCAAATTTATTGTGAAGAATAGCTGGTTCTATTCTATTCGAACTTCAGAAGACGGTTATATTATTTTTATTTTGTTGTTTTTTTTTCTATTCTATTCCTTTATTTTCTATTCTATTCTTTTATTTTCTATTCTGTTCTGTTTTACTCTATTCCTTTCTATTCTGTTTTATTCTCTTCTATTCTTTTTGAATTTCGGAAAATAGCTACAGTGGGGCACAAAAGTATTTAGTCAGCCACTAATTGTGCAAGTTCTCCCACTTAAAAAGATGAGAGAGGCCTGTAATTGGCATCATAGGTAGACCTCAACTATGAGAGACAAAATGAGAAAACAAATCCAGACAATCACATTGGCTGATTTGGAAAGAATGTATTTGCAAATTATGGTGGAAAATAAGTATTTGGTCACCTACAAACAAGCAAGATTTCTGGCTCTCACAGACCTGTACCTTCTTTAAGAGGCTCCTCTGTCCTGCACTCATTACCTGTATCAATGGCACCTGTTTGAACTTGTTATCAGTATAAAAGACACCTGTCCACAACCTCAAACAGTCACACTCCAAACTCCACTATGGTGAAGACCAAAGAGCTGTCGAAGGACACCAGAAACAAAATTGTAATCCTGCACCAGGCTGGGAAGACTGAATCTGCAATAGGCAAGCAGCTTGGTGTGAACAAATCAACTGTGAGAGCAATAATTAGAAAATGGAAGACATACAAGACCACTGATAATCTCCCTCGATTACAAGAACGGTGAGCAAAAATCCCAGGACCACATGGGGGGACCTAGTGAATGACCTGCAGAGAGCTGGGACCAACGTAACAAAGACTACCATCAGTAACACACTACGCCGCCAGGGACTCAGATCCTGCAGTGCCAGACGTGTCCCCCTGCTTAAGCCGGCACATGTCCGGGCCCGTCTGAAGTTTGCTAGAGAGCATTTGGATGATCCAGAAGAGGATTGGGAGAATGTCATATGGTCAGATGAAACCAAAATAGAACTGTTTGGTAGAAACACAACTCGTCGTGTTTGGAGGAGAGAGAATGCTGAGTTGCATCCAAAGAATACCATACCTACTGTGAAGCATGGGGGTGGCAACATCATGCTTTGGGGCTGTTTCTCCGCAAAGGGACCAGAACAACTGATCCATGTACAGGACAGAATGAATGAGGCCATGTATCGTGAGATTTTGAGTGCAAACCTCCTCCCATCAGCAAGGGCATTGAAGATGAAACGTGGCTGGGTCTTCCAACATGACAATGATCCCAAACATACCGCCCGGGCAATGAAGGAGTGGCTTCGTAAGAAGCATTTCAAGGTCCTGGAGTGGCCTAGCCAGTCTCCAGATCTCAACCCCATAGAAAACCTTTGGAGGGAGTTGAAAGTTCGTGTTGCCCAGCGACAGCCCCAAAACATCACTGCTCTAGAGGAGATCTGCATGGAGGAATGGGCCAACATACCAGCAACAGTGTGTGCCAACCTTGTGAAGACTTACAGGAAACGTCTGACCTCTGTCATTGCCAACAAAGGATATATAACAAAGTATTGAGATGAACTTTTGATATTGACCAAATATGTATTTTCCACCATAATTTGCAAATAAATTCTTTCCAAATCAGCCAATGTGATTGTCTGGATTTTTTTTCTCATTTTGTCTCTCATAGTTGAGGTCTACCTATGATGCCAATTACAGGCCTCTCTTATCTTAAAAAAGTGGGAGAACTTGCACAATTGGTGGCTGACTAAATACTTTTTTGCCCCACTGTATATTCTATTTTACTCTATTCTTTTCTACTCTGTTCTTTTTTTTCTATTCTATTTTATTTCTTTATTTTCTATTCTATTTTGTTTTACTCTATTCTATTCAAAATTTAAATTTCGGTGGACGGCTGTATTCTTTTTATTCTATTCTGTTCAAATCCATTCTATTTTTTATTTGACTCTTTTATATTCCTTTTATTTTCTATTCTATTATTTTTTTTATTCTATTGTGTTCTATTCTTTTTGAAATTCGAATTTTAAAAGACGGCTATATTCTAACACTAATGCACACACAGACTTTGAAGGAAATCAGCAACATTCAACAATATGCTGATATTTTAATTTGTTTTTGAATTTGGACAAAATTTTGTTTTGTTGTTTTGGATTCGTTTTAAATTCGTTACTATTGAAACTTGGATACATCTAAACATCCGAATAACGAAAATTTTGTCCAAATTTTGATCTGGAACTAAACGAAGCACACGTTTACAGCATTCCAGGAAGCAAATTGTCACACCTCGTACATCTGCCTGTTCGTAGGGACTACTGACGTTGGAGATGATTGGAATGGCTATGTGAAAGGGCCCCAACACTATCTTGCCAAGGCAAACCGAGGATGCCTTATCCATGTGGGCCGATGTCCTCCCCCTGAGATTGGCTCACTGCTGTTTATTTTCCCAGGAAGTCTGCACAGAGCTTGAGGTAAAATCTCCGACATCTTCTGCAATGGGAAGTATATTTCTGATACAATGTTTAAAATAGGTTGTCGCTATGAGCTTTTCCGGGTTTCCTATTTCTTAACACCTCAGTATTTTGTTGTGATTAGCTGTGATTGGGCAAAGCTGATCACATGATACAGGTGGGCTATGATTGGCCCTGTCTGTATCATGTGACTGCCTTGACCAGTCACAGCTAACAACATAATTGTATACAATGGATGGCATGACAGGAAGCCATCCATTGTATACAATCGACGTGATCTGCTGTGATTGGTCACATGACACTGGCAACGGATAGGTGTAGTAATATGTCCCGTGGACACAGCTGGTGA